TCTGCTGAGGCTCTGATTGTTGATCCAACTTTAAGAAACTTGAAGGAAAGAATTCCACCACAGACTGACCTATGGTAATGTTGTGATCTGTTATTTTAAACCCATAAACTGCAATCGAAATCTCTTTGAATCCACCAGTCCCTAGAAACAGAGATGGACATTTTGATCTTGCAGATCATGGGAGTTGCTGATCTAACTGCTGCCTATTTTGCTTAGTAAGTCTTATTTTGCGACATTGTCAACCTGTTGGTTTAGAGTCTAAAATCACCTCTGTAACACACAACAACACAAAGAAACTAACTGATCGAGGCGTTGGTAGACCAGAAAATCCATTTTTTTACGTTAATATTTTTGTTAAAGTACAGACTTCATTCCCCAGAAATAAAACAGGCTGATGGAACATACAATAGTTCTTTTTAAAAGAAATAGGATTTCTCTCAGAGGGGGGTACAATCACAATTTGTAGGTGGAATCATTTCCCAGTAGCAGCCAGGTTGGTTAGAAAGTTAAGGATGTAACGAAACACTCTTCTCACGGTACATATAACAGAACAGGCTTCATTATATAATAAGTATAACAGTTTGTAATGATTTTCTTATTTTGATGTAGACATGAGCTTGAGGTCAATCCATGACAGAATCTGATTCGCTTTTTTTACATTCTGCATCACGTTGGTCTTGCTATATGTGTCATTTATCACACTCTTGCAGTATAGTTTAGCTTAGTCTTGGATTAATTGATTAAGCTGAAAAGATAAAAGGGGTAGGACTGAAAAAGTTATTTAACTTCATCCTACACCCTTTTTCAAACATGGACTGGTTAAGGAAAAAAAAACGAGCCACTACAGAAAGTATGCTTTGATTGCTGTTTACTTTGATGTAATGTATATTTTTATTTTATTTTTAAAACATGTTCGAAATAAAAAAAATGAAATCTGCACTCTGTTTTTGTCTTTCCCGCTATCTGCTCACCTCGCATCTACGCCTGCTTTCAAACAAAACACATATTCTAAACCTCAAAATCTTCATTCACTTCCGTCATGTCTGTAGGCTTTTTTTCTAAAGCAACTGATGTCGTAAATTGAAGCTAAAAGCAGAAAGCGCTCTCTGATGGTAAATTCCAATTATTGCAATATATATTTCTTGTCAAATTGATTAAAAATTGTCTATATTTGTATCAGTTGTAGATTGTATTGCAAGTGTCGTTGCATCCCTTGCAACCAGAATTTGGAGCACACAGAGGAAATCTTCAGGATCACTGTTGAAATGAGACTCCTCTCTTTTACAGCTTCTTGTTTCATGATGTGAATTCCACATAAAGATATTGCCTGCTGCAGGTTTATTGTATATTACATGTAATGTGGCGCCTCTTTTTATGACCAAGTGGGTCAGGAAGGTGGCGGAGCCTCGGGATATTTGGCAGGAAAGTCATTAACTTTGACCTGAGGGCCCTGGTGGATTATGGGATACTTGCAGTGCAGCATAATCAGGGACACACACTTTCACAAGAGTCCGGATCCACTGTTGCAAGTGCACACACGCACACACACACGCACACACACACGCACACACACACGCACACACACACACACACACACACGCACACACACACACGCACACACACACGCACACACACACACACACACACACACACACGCACACGCACACACACACACGCACACACACACGCACACACACACACACACACACACACACACAAACACACACTCAGTGGTGACACACCCTGGGAGGTCAGCAAAAGTCTGTGGCAAAGTTTGACGGCTATGGCAGCTTGCGTGGGCGTGGTCAAGTGGCGCTTGTGAGTCATTGTGTGTGAACTTGTGTTATTTGAGGCTGTGTGTGTGTGTGTCTCTCCCGCTTTGTGTGTGTGTGTGTCTCTCCCGCTTTGTGTGTGTGTGTGTGTGTGTGTGTGTGTGTGTGTGTGTGTGTGTGTGTGCGTGCGTGTGTGTGTGCGATCAGAGGTCCTGCATGTGTTCAGGACAGGCCTTCTAACTAGGCCAACAGCTGCTTCCCCGGCAATTCATCTCCAGTCAGCTTTGAAGCCCTTTTTTCCTCGTATTACCGCACAACACGGAAACGTTTTTGCATTTAAATGGAGCTCACATTTGAAGAACGCTGCCCATCACACACATGTACGCACGCCACATTTACAAGTGCACGCATGAACTCACATATATTACCATCCCCTTTGTAGAAGAAATTTGAAACACAAGTGCCCAGGTGTTTGCTCCGAGCCTTCTCTCTATGAGTTATGTATTCAAATAGATGCAGCATATTCAGCCTGCGCGCATGTGTGTGTGCGTGTGTATTTTAGCGTAGGTGTGCACCACCGAAATTAGACTCTGAATTCAGAAAAGCTGCCGCTGTGTCCCTCCACCACCTTTGTGTGTGTGTGTGTGTGTGTGTGTGTGTGTGTGTGTGTGTGTGTGTGTGTGCTTCACTTTGATGGTGGACAGGAGGTCTGTTCTCTTGTTCAAAGAGATCCTTCATCTCTCTTCTCTTTGGTCTGTGCTATCTCAACAAAAGGAAAGGAAGACAAAAAGAACTATCAGGAAAAGAGGCTGGTACACACACACACACACACACACACACACACACACACACACACACGAAGACACAACCTTACTAGCCTCCATTCTCTTGCTTCCTGACACTCGTCTCTCTCCCTGTCTCTTCCTTCCTCCGTCCATCACTCCAACACACATCGAGGTGCACTGAAGCGAGGCAGAGAACACAGCTGTGAACTAACCCAGAGGCCCATGCTTCTTTGCCCGTTTGTGTGCATTCATGTGTATGTGTGAGTGTGTCTTTGACAGCCTGGCCCACTGAGACAACACAAGAGGCGTAAAGCAGGTCAACATTAGAACGAGGGCAGTGTGACTGAATGGTTTTTACGAGAGGTGGAGCTAAACAGGTTGATCCAAAGATTTGACGGAGTTTGCTCGAATTAGGATATCCTGCTCCTTCACTCTCACACACACACACGCGAGTGGTTAAGCTATGTTTGAAGGTTGATAAATGACCACAGTGGTCAGCCTCCCTTCCTCTCCAGCTGCTGTGCCACATGCTCACTTTGGAGTTGTACAACATGTACCGCAGGCCTCGAGTCAAAGCATGGTAAACTGGTGGAAGCAGCTGGTTTCTCTGCAGCAGTCTGTTCACTGCAGCCTTAAAGTTTTTATTCAAATAAACTTCACAAAAAGAACAACACTGCAATTTAGCGATACGCTTTAATTCATAAAAGATACAGACAATATCCAAAAGATTACATTCTATAATTAAATATGCCACTTGATGAACAAGACTGGACCCTGAGATATCCTAATTCTGGGTACCAAGCCATGACAAAAACATAAAATCCTAAAAATGATTTTCATAAATGATCTTGACATATTTGAGGTGCAATTTTGATGTGTGCAGGGTCATATATGTAATATCCAAGCAAATTAATAACTAGAATTCTAGTATTGAATATTCAACATATTAGGCTCAACAAACAATGTTATGTTGGCATCTTACTCACATTAGTCAACATGCTATCCCCTCATGTGAATGCTGACTCAAGTGAAAATGATACGATCTTGTTTTTTTTTTAATCTCCAACTATATGCAGGTGCTATTGTCACCACCAAAATGACTATAGGTTAAACTAATATATAATTGTTTTATCAATTTTAATTGATATCAGTTAAATGTTGTGTGTAAGGCAGCTGTCTGCCACTAGTCATGGCTATAGCTACTACCCAGATGTAGACTAGCATAGTCAACAGATGGTATCTTGGAGCCTCTAGTGGTTTGGCAGTATTTTGATCTAGAAAATGGAGATTAAGTTGTACAGTATGAAGGCTTTGTCCGTCAAAACTGTCATGTAATCATTGGACCGGAGTAATACGTAAACCATATTCAGGCATGTGGACAATAACCTGCAAGGAGGCCTGAACGTTAGCGGTGCTAAAGTTGCTAATGTTAGCCACACTCGCCAAAAAAAATGTGACATTGTTTACCTGCAGATGCTGTGAACTCATGTTGAGATGTGTCAAATAAATGGTCTTCAATTTTGACTCTTTCTGAGGTTTTTCTTAAGTTTAAACGTCTTGACTATTTTTTTGTTCAATTATATTTTATTGGCAGGGAATTTGGTCGCAAGGGACATCCCCAAACTAGAGCCAATCTCTGCCGTACACATGATATATGGCACACCCTCTATGGTTTATCCATATATGCATACATACGTCTGACATAAAGAGAAGACCCCTGCTGGCAAACAGCATGTGGACATGAAAAGAAATCTTTGTGTGATGTGTAAAACACTGAAGTGTTTGGCTGACACTCATAGCTCCCTCTGAGGACACAAAAAACAGCTGCTGGCAGTGAAACAGCAGAAATCACCAGATATTTAGATGACAGTGTGATTATGTGTGTGGTATGAAGTGAAGCTCCTTATCTAAGAACTGCCACATTATTCAGCTGAAAGTGAGCTGCTATGATACTGTAAGGGTCACAACTGGAGACGGATTAAAAACCAGCTTCCACTCCCTCCTTGTGGCAGACATACATTTTTAATTGACAGTTCGTTTTTAAAATCATTTATTTCCAAATCATGCTCCTCTCTTAGCTGAATGCAAAGGATTTCAAAAAGACATTTCGCAGCAGGAACAGATTCAGACATGCTGACATATTTATAGTAACTGTCACAAAATGAACTGACAGGAGAGGATGATGGGTAACAGGAAGTGCTGCCAGTGGCTGCCCATCCAAGACAGGCATTAAAGTGGATTGACAGAAAGAGAAAGTGTTGTGCTGTAGAGTCAGTGAAGCAGATCAGAGTGAGGAGATCCACCTTTCACTGTGAGTGTGTGTTGGGAAAATTGACGAAGATGATTAAGTACACGGCCACTCACAATATACTCACACACAGATTTGACAGTGAGTGCTGCCACAGTTTTGATTATTAATTGTTTTCTCTGTGTTTCTTTGCAGCTCTGATTTCTGCTGGTTGCTGCACCAACTCCTGTAGAAGTGTAAAGCTCTGGGACAGGTGAGTCACAAGCACACACACATTCAAGACAGCACACGTTCTGTAAGATAACTAGAATATAATATTGGCCAAAAAAAGCTTATTATTCATCATATTTCATATTGTTATTATTATTGAACATTATATCACAGTTTGTCTCAGATCTAATTAGACCTAACTTGAATGAATTGTCCTGTTCTGTGTCCTCCTGCCGAGTGTAAGTCCAATATTCATACTGTAGCTCTGTTTTATTCTCCATCAACCCTTGAGGAAGGTATCTGCTTTATTAACAAACTATTTTCTATCTTTGTTTACTTGGCAGGTAAAATTCTCTGTTAAACAGATATGTATTGTTCATTGACTTCCTGCTGCAGCAAGATACTGTTTTTTTTTAAAGACGTGTAGATAATATTCCACTGTGTTTTTAAAAGTAGCAAAATCAACCACAACACCCCTGGAAATTTGATTTCAAATATATGTAAACTGACAAATTAAAGGAAAAAACAGAGATAGTGTCTCAGGGAGGTTTTGGGCCATTTTGTGCAGCCAGAACTACAACTAGCTTCAATGCTGGGTTGGAAAAAAAACAGATTCCCAGAATCCCCTGAGGATATGAGCCTAATGTCCTCAGTGGTAGCTACTGACCTGACACCAGAAGCAATTTTTTGTTGAAGGTGGCGTGCAGTAAAAGAAAAAGGCAAACGTGTGTGTGTGTGTGTATATGTGTGTGTGTGTGCGTGAGAGTATGAGAGGTCAGCCTGGTGTGACCCCTGCTTTAATGCACTGGCCGCAGGGTGAGTGATGGCGTTGGGTTAATATTTAATGATGAAGCAGTTCCTAATGGTGGAATAAATCAGTCTCCATCTTTACCTGGACACGACAGATCCTGGCATTCTGCTGAGCACAGGCTCTGCACACACACACACACACACACACACACACACACACACACACACACACACACACACACACACACACACACACACACACACACACACACACACACACACACACACACAGACAAATGCAAATACATGCATCTGCATGCAGCAGTTTCACCAATCCTTTCTTGTCTTTCAGCTTTGATGCCTCCTGACCATGACATGCCTCTTGATCAGATGCTGCTTTGACACGACAAACCCCGGAGAGAGAAGGAGAGGGTTATTAGCAGGATGAATGGATGGATAGACGATTAAATCGATGCATAACTGGATGGATAAATGATCATGGAATTATACGTCAAGCAGTGAAGAATAAGGACGCAGATATGTGCAAGAAGGAAAACAAAAGAGGCAAAACCTCTGAAACACTCTCTCTGCCCTGTCTTCTGCTGCTGTTGCTGCTGCTATGCATTTACTGTGGACCACCAGAAAAGACTGAATGTCAGTGTTCGGACAGGCAGAGGATCATCCCTGCATTGCCAAAATGAAGAAACTATGAGGAGAAAATAAAAAAAAGACAGCCGAGAAGTGTTGTGTTGCCAACAAAATAGTCCTACCTCTTTGGAAAGACAGACACCTTTTGGATGAATGAAACTGAACGTGGAAGAGTATCTTCTCATGCCAAAGTTGGAGCTTACAGCCACTTCTCTACACAATCACAACACCAGTGAATATTAAAACCTAATGCCCAACCACAAGACAATGGTAACTACTTTGACAAAAAGATTTGTGGCCCTGGACTAAAAGCACAAAATAACTAACTAAAGAAAGCAAAAATATTCTTGTTTTATTGAGCAGCGGTAGCCGTTGTTTTTCTGACGTTTGTGGTAACATTGAACTCAACAATTTGGGAAAACAGCAACATAGATACAACAACGTCCAACTGGGTAAGATACACAAGAGGTTATCCAATCAGACAGGCTACAAACAAGTTTAGCTCTATTTTATTAACCAATTGATTTTGGAGCCAATCCATGAAGGTTTCCAGTTGTTAACATTGAGGCTGGTGACTACAAATGAACCGTCTTCTATTATTTCTCCATTCTCAGCTCTTAGTGTATTTGAAGCTATGAGGTAGTACCGCAGAATCCTGAATATTAGTTGCATATCGGACACAATGTGTTAGGGGGGATAAGTTTAACTGTCTTCCTGCAAGACAATTTCCATCGGATTCCTCCAAGTCTAAAATGTGCATAATGAGCAGTTTAAATGCATGTTTATGACCTGATGATGGAGAAAAGCTGGTGAAAGCTGTTAGCCTGATCTGTCGTCACTTTGTATCCCAGAACACTGCATATTAAAAGCTTTGAATACACAAAGCTCATGTCCGTTATTAACTTCTAACTTCAACTAAATTTAGTTGACTATGTTTTTGTTTCTTGAATTTATTTTCGCTAACTCTAGTCAGCTGGATCGCAGACCACTTTATAGATGGAAAAAAATATAATAAGTGTCTTAAACACTAAATATTACAGTAAATCCCGAGCTGAACCAGCTGACAAAAAGTCAATTGATTGAAAAATAATTCACAATTTTGATTCCCAGTTTAACATTCTGAGTTCAAACTTAAATACTAAAAGATTTACCAGCTGAAATTTTAGCAGATAGGCATGTTGAGATCAAGTAGTTTTAAACACTTTTTCCATTACATTGATCTGACAAAGGACATATTTCAGGACAGAATGTCATCAGTGTTAAAGGCTTTATATGTGATTTTTCACACTTAAATATAATCAAGTATATCCTCTGAAAATAACTCTGTGAGTCATGACTGTCTACAATGGGTGTAACACCCGAGTCTCACTGTCTGTGATGTTTTCAGAGTTTTCAGAGTCCTATCTTCACTTTGTTTACATCGCCAGGACGGCCGGCTGACTCCTCTCCTCACGTATAAAAGTTGTTTAATTGAGGGACTAGAGAAAAGAAGAATAACATACTGTACTCACTGTTTAACTGTGTTTCTAGATCGCGCTCATTTCAGGTAAATGGAAATGCAGTGTGTAGATACGAGCATAATAAAGATCGCTAGCATTAGCATGCTAACACAACAATGCACCGCAAGTTGTTTTGGTTTCATGCTGGTGCTCAAGGGCGACATCTGCTGGATCAAAAAATCGCATAAAAAGCCTTTAAGGTCTTTTGGGTTGACAGATTATTATAAACATTTTTTCACACACCTAAAACAACTTTCTCAATTAAAAAAAAACATTATCACAGCACCAATAATCCAAATGTGTGGTGCTATTTAAAGTGGATATACTTTGCCCTACTTAGTCGGCAATTAGTGGATATCAAAGATAATGTTTTACAGCAGACCGGGAAGGAATTTTTGCAAATTTTGAAACCAGCAATACACACCATAATGGTGGACAATTTGGCTATTGAGCTCTTGTGTTTATTACCCAGTTGGACTTTTTGCTGAAATTAACAAGAGTTGAAACAAATCAAGGACTAATTACTAACCTTACTTTGATTATTGAATAATTGTTTGAGCCAATTTGCTAGCAAAATAAACTTCCAGGATTTTCTTAAACTACTGTTTGTGTGGAAATAAAACCATGTAAGCATTACAATTAATCCAATTTGAAACAGGAGTAACCAGCACAGCTAGCATTTACCTCTAGATAGAAATAAGCTAACGGAAAAGTAAACGTGTCACAGTTGCCATATTCAGAAGTCTGTGTAGCTTCTGTGTTGTTATCAGGCATTCAACTAGGGTGCTGTAAATGAAAGGGTTACAGAGAGAACATATAAGGATGTGTGTTGGGGAAATATTCATATTTTCCTGTCAAGTTAGGGAGAAAATATTCGCTAATTTTCTGCTCTTTTTCAGAGTTTGTGGAAAGGTCCGTTCCTATACTGTACCAACAGTGTTATAGTAATCTTAACCTTGTGTCAGCGTTCAGTCATATATATGGTGTTGTGTGTGTGTGTTTGTCTTTTTTCCAAACTTCTGGGTATCCAGACACAGATAACATGTCTCGCCATCTATTCATCACAGCATGTTAAGGAGATGTGAAGCTGCAAAAACCAGAGGACACAGAGATTTGTGGGTTGTTCGGTTAATATCTAGCAATGCTAACGCTAAACCGAGACTGTTGCATAGTTGAAAAAGCCAAAGTTAGCCTTCTGCTAGTTTAAAAGCCAATATTAGCAGCAACAGCTTGTTCCTTTACCCGTACAAGCTTGCAGAATAAAGCATCCTGAAAGTTTTTAATAATTGAAATCTGAGTTCAATATTAGGGGTGTTTTTTTTGCTTTTCTGTTTTGCTTTTATGAAGGATAAGAGTTATTGATAAAAACGGGGCATGATCAGCTGCCTATCAGCTGATCTGACTGATGGGCAAGTGCTTTATTAAACCAAAACAAGGCTGTCCCTCAGCACACACCCCCTCCCCTCCCTCATGTTCCTACCGAGTGCAAATGTTTCTATGACAGATCTTCATTCAGATATGCAGCCCACTGTTGATTCGGATCTTATTTCTCTGAAGTATTTCAGACCAAAAAAGTATTTTCAGCTGTGTCTCTTCCCCCACTTGGTAGCAGCGCTAATGGTTGAACAGGGAGGAGCTTGTTGGAAAATACACATCAGTGATACATAAAGAAGCTGAAGGAAGCATCCTCCCATCAGTGTGAACTCAGAGCTGAGAGCAACAAACCCAGGGGGGGTTGACTTGACCCTTTTTTAAAGTCATTACTCAAGAACACATTTAGTTAGGCAATGTGACCAATGGGTGATGTCACTGAGCTTATTTCCACGTTTTATACAGTCTATGAGTTATGCTAGCCCCTAACATACAGAGTCAATGTCAGGTAGCTCAGAAAACAGCTAAGCACATTTCATTTGTTGCTCTTGAAACTTGAATTTTCAAATTTAAAATCAATAATTAATTAAAAAAAAGGATAATCTTTCGGCTCTTTATTTCCTCAGCTAGTTTGAAAAAAAAAACCCTCTTTTAACTGTGGGAGGGTTTATCAAGATTATTTTATTTGATGGTTTAATGCTCCTACACACATACTGTACCTTCTAAACTCTGTTTTGTACTTTGCTTTTAAACAGAAACTAGAATTCGCTAAAAGCATTTACACACACACACACACACACACACACACACACACACACACATCCAAGGTCAGAAGAATAAACTAAAAAGCTCACTGACTGAGAGAAAACAAACTTTGAAAGTTGATTTTGAAAATGTGTTTTTAAGCATCCATTAGAGATCCACCACAGCGGATATGATTAGTGACAGCTAAGCTTCGATTCAGCGGGATCAGCATCAGTGCTAATGACCTCTCCAGAGATGTCTGTCCTTTCCAAAATATGAGAGGTAATTTATCCCTGAATGTTATACTCTCTTTTTCAGAGCAGTGTTCACTCTCTTCGATGGAATAATCGAGACGTGTTATTCTTGTCTAGATACGTGGATGTGAGGAAAATGAGACACAACACACACACAGTCGCTCACAATGATAAACACACAGACATAAACATTTATCCTGAATCCATGATGTATAACCTCTTCATCCTGTGAGTTTCTTTTCTAGATTTTGTGACTGATTCATCAATACAAGAACTATGATATATTATCAAAGACATATTATGTTTTTAAAAGTCAAGAGTAGTATATCTGCTTAGTTTTATAAATATATAACTACAGTTATTATTTTTGACTTCTTGGTATTATATAACTAATGATTATAACCAGAGATGTATGTATAAGCTAATAAAGTGTCTTTATGTAAAAATGACTCCTTTGCAGATTGTTCATTGAATCTCCATATTGTGTGTGTATGTGTTGTGTTCTGTAGACTGAAAAAAAAAGTATTTGAGGAAAAGTAAAATATTTTGGTTTCACAGCTGTCTTAGATTAAGTTTTTCAATATCTAAAGTGTTGCACGGTAAAGACAATGAAAGTTTGTGAATGTGGTTTTTGTTTCTTCTCCTCATTTGATTTCAGATTAAGCCAGGCTAATCACATCCTGACACCAGCTCAATTGTAACGCAAGCTCTCACAATTGTGCTCATTTGTTTTGTATTACGCCCAGAAGAAAATTTTAACTTAAATACAAGGCACATAAAATCACTGACAGCAACAAAAGCATAGACAAGTTATAGTAGAGCTGGATTAGTATTTAAACTTTGTAAGGGTGACCCTCAATAGTCCAATCTACGATGATTCATTTCGAAAGCTAGCTACACTAGCTACAGAATGCCAGAGTTTTGTGCATAAACAATTATGTCAACATGTTAAAACTGGGAAAAAACTACTACTACTACTTTTGAGTCCCAAAAGTAGTGACATGTAAAGGTGAAAAGTAAAAAAAGCTCATAGATGCTACATGCAAGTGATGCTAAAGTCATTTAGCTTTTTAACCTAAAATATCTGTTAAAATCTAAAGAAATACAGTCAAGATGTTAAGAAGCTTTATGTCAGTGCTGCATCCATCCATGTAAAGTTACTAAAGAGTTGAAATTGCATTATAAAAACAGAGCAAACATACTCATCCAAGTAAAATCAAGACAGTAGTTATTCAATAAGGTCGTTGACCCAGCCACACACAAAATAGATGTATTGCTCAAGACTATTGTGTGCCCTCATTTGGCGACCTGTGTGGTGGAGGGTCTGCAGGATTAAGTCATTTGTGATATTGATCGCCTCTGCACATGGCAAATTGGTCAACCCACAGGAAAAAAAACAACACTTTTCCGTAAAGTGCAGCAGTCATATCCAATATTTCTGTTAATTTTTTAATGATACTGAATCCGCATACACATTGCCGTTAGTATGATTTGTATAGTGAATTGCGAGTGTAATTTCATCATAAGTTCCCCATAATGCAGACTTAATGAGAAAAAGGAGCGATCCAGTCCTATCATAGAATAAATTGTTATTCCAAGTCTAAAGGACAAATATTTTAATCGAAGATGTAAGGGTCTGTCTGCTCTGAGATCAGTTAACTCAATAATAAGAAACTTACTCCAAGGAAATTGGTTGGGAACCACTGACCTAACCGAGAGCATCCAGAAATATTGTTAGATGCATATACCTACAGGCTATGTCCCACTACTACTACACTACTACCCATTTGAAGCCAAATAACATCACAGCAGTGCATCGAATACAGTCCTTTAAATGCAGCCGACGAATGAGTCCTCGTTTCCCCAGAAAACAAAGGTGGCATCCAGTGCATCCCCGGCAAACATGATGTTGGACCATCAAAAGGGAGTGTGATGAAATTTAAAGTACAGTAATTTGTTTCAACTCAATCAAATAACCAAAACCTATGTTATAGAAATACAAAAGAGGCCTTGGAACTTTAAATTGTCTTTAAATAAAAGGTTAAGTTACATGACATTAGTTATTCAGGTGCATCTGTTGAGGTTGCTGGGGCAACAGGGGCAGCAGACTAGAAACCAAAAGGATAAGGGTGAGTGGTGAAACAAACGGCGTGCCCTCCTTACAGCCTCATTTCAGATGGTCCTGATTGGTCTTTGAAGGATAATTAGTCTGAGTCCTAAAAAGGATGCCACCTCTGAATTGAGACACAGCTTTAACTTCATATAGTGAAGTCTTTAAGCCACAGTGAAAGCTGCCATGTTTGATAAGTTGAGAATGTAGAGGCGTGTGTCCACAAACACTGTTTGACAGCGTCCACGACCTCCGTTTCAGAGCGCTTCTCACTAGCGCTCATTGTCGCTAGGTTATAAAAGTGAACTTCTGCTTCCCTCCGTAATGTCCGTCAGTTGT